GCTCAAGCCTCGCAGTATATGAACGCGGCATGATCTTACCGCATGCCACCCTCTTCCTCCAGATTAAACAAGCCCCTTGTCAGGGATAACCCGACACAACCCTTGTCACTGTTTTGGACTTCGATGTTGACACTGTCCGAAAGGAATGTCAACTTCTGGTACTGCATGCGTGCAGGCTCGAAATGTTCCCCAATCCAAAATATCCCAATAACCCCTAAATATTGAATCAACCTGCGGTAGATAAATGCAAATGTGGTTGCTCGAAGTTGCATCAGTTTGAGCCTGAGATGTACTCTTAAAGGTCTGAGGTGCTCAAAGAGTTCACCCGCTCATCATAGCGAGTTCGCAGCTGTAACTTTTTTAAAACTTACCACAATATTCTTTGTCAACTTGATCTTTACATGGGTGTTAATGCAGTACATCATAACGCGGTGTTTTAGCTCCACCTATGCATATTTCCTTACGCTCTAATTCATGGCCTCATATCCCCTTATCACCTCCTTATGACCAAATAAGGTGACAGCAAGTTGAGAAACTGCTGCTACCTTTCCATAGCTCCTCTCTACCCCATGCCTGCATCGAGGAGATTGCCATTTTTGTCATGACATTGTTCTGCCTAGGATGTTCCCTATTATTTTAGCGCGTGACCCTTCTCAACAAGGTTCAGTTTTATGTTGTGCATGCATGTTTGCAAGCTAGCGAACGTTTAATCATTTATCAGTAGTTGCATGCACGCAGCTCGTTATGAGTATACGTTGGTGTTTATGTGAGAGCTGCCGTCCATTCTCAACTGTGTGGCATTGTTATGTAGTGCATGAGAAATGGCCACGAGATATGTCGAAGTATTTGTAACTTTTACCTGCTTCATGTAACGTTTGTTTTTAATGAAATTTTTGTCGCGAAGTGAATTTCGTGCCAAAAATTCCATTTGGATGTCCTTTTACAAACGTGGTGTGCGGTGTGGTTGCACAATCCTCTCTCATGTTCCTGAAAAGCAGTTCTGCTTATGCTTCGGCTCAAGTGGTATGAGCGGCGTACCAAGTGGTGTATTACATCCATTGATTCAGTCTGACTGAAAGGAGTAGTTTCAGCAGATTTGGAAGCTTTCTAGAACCTCTTACATCTAATGAATTAGAATGCAAAGGCATGAGAAGCATAAGTTGCGGAATACGTAGCTTCCGCTACCATTTTGTACCTCCAGGCCTTAAGTGTTGCGCATTAGATCACCTCATGGGATTCCAGGTGATTTCATCCACTTCTAATCAACATTACTGCACACGGCCGGCACAAATTACGGATTCTGCATATGTTCGCGGCCCTTTTCGGTGTTCGAAGTTTTTGCTCAGCCATGCTGATTTTTTTGTGTAGTGCACCATTCTTCGACTTCGGTCTGTGATAGTAAGAGTGATAAAGGCTTTCCGTAACGAGGAAAGTGCCCTGGTTCCAAAGCTATAATTGTGTTGCACCGACAGGGTGTTTTTAATCCCTATTTTCAGAATGGTCTAAATGTGAATAAACCCGCGGTGTGCGGTACTATTCAAAGATTTACAGAGTCGCGAGATTTCTGAGCGGATCGTGGTTCTAATTCAGTTGGATGATCGGCATCGGTGGG